TCCCAAGCTCCGTGTCTTGGATGCTACCATCCCATACCAGGCAACAGCTTAGATCTGTTACCCATTCTGAGATATGCCATTCGAAACTTCAATAAAGAAAGTCAGAAATCCTTCCTTTATGAAGTTGGTGAAATAATAAAAGCCACAAGACAGGTTTGTATACTGGATTTTTCTTTCATTTTAGGGCGTGTAGTACTTTGGCTTCTCCTATGCACTTCTTTTTTTATTATATTTTTATGTTATACTTCACAGTCATAAATTGTGTGCTATAAAAATAATACTGTATTGTTCCAATTATAAGTCAACCCTGCATATAAGCCAAATTCATGTTTTCAAGTTCAATTTGAGGGGGAAAAAATTATCTTGAATATTGGCTGATGTTTGTGCAAAGGTCAACCAAAAATCAGATCTTCTAATGCAATTATAACCCGATTGTCAGCACCCTGGTTATAAGGTCATCTTGCATATAAATCAAGAGCAATTCTTATGGCTCTTTTTTGAGGGTAAAAAAGGTAAACTTATAATCAGAACTATACAGCACTTTTCATTTCTATAGAGGGGGAAACTGAGGCACATCTTACTGAATACCTGATTTTCAGTGCTTCTATGTTCTCTGGACTGTTAGTAAGTATGGCATGTTTGAACAGTGTTCAATATTAGTTCAGCAGTTCCTGTTGCCAATGCATACTGTCAGCAATTGATGTGTTTTGTGGCAGTGAGAGGCTACCTTTTTGCCACACATTAGCCCCGCACCCTCCCCAAGTGCCACTCCAATCCCTTTTCCCTGCAAAATCTGCTGATCTGCTTTCTGCTCCCTTCCCTGTGCTTCCTGCCCCATCTGCTGCTCTATCTGCCACTGTGCTGCTTGTCACCTCCCTCCTCTGCCACATGCCACACACAGAGGCAGCCTGTGTCACTTGTTGCATGTACGCTGCAGGTTTACCAGCCCTGTTTTAAGGTATAGACAAAGTTAAAGAAGAAAAGTGGGTAAAAAGAAAAGCCACAGAGGCCTTGTCTGTTAGAAATGAATTCTGTATTTTGTGGGAATTCTGGGTAGACTGGAAGTACAGGCTCCAATCTCAAGTCAATCTGAAAGAGTTACTTATCTAAGTTAAAGTATTATGTGCCTAAAACAATTGTGTATCCCTTTTTTTTGTATATCTGTATGCATTTGTCTTTGTGCTGTTTCAAGTGCCTTCTAGTCATGTGCTAGCTTCGTCCCCCCATCTGGAATCAAATCAATTGTATTAAGAAAAATCCATTCCCCCCGCTTTTATTAACTCCACTGGTCCTCTGAGTGGAGACACACACAACACTTAAACCTTATAGGAAAACTGTTCCAGGAGCTGTAATGGAGCCCCTGGAAAGGAAACTGCCACATCACCTATGAGCCCTGGAGGGTCTTCACATCAGGCCTGTATAGACCATCCAGAGGACTCCACCAGGATGAACCAAAGAAGGAATATGCTTGTTTTAATCCTAATCCAGAGCCCTCTGAAGGCAGCAGGATTGTGCCCATGGACTTCATTAGACTTTGGATCAGGTTTGTGTTACAGAGAGGCTGTAGATACTACTCTGTTCCATGGGCTGGGAACATGAGTAGCCACTGAGTAATGCTGCAGTCTTGCTTCCTGGCACTAGTTTAGGCATGGATTTTCAAAGCAGCCTTTCCATTCCCAGATCCAGCCTGCAAAAAGTCAGATGTGCAGGATGTATTTAGATTAGGCCACGCTGCCCGCTGTGTTCTAGGCCACGTGCACATGGTGCCCCCTGTATCTTGCTCCGGGCGCCCCAAGCAGCCCCTTGCAGGCTGGAATGCTGCCCGCCTGCTAGGGGAAATCCACTGTTTCCCACAGGAACCCAGGCACCCGGGTGCCCCTGATTGGCTGGGTCTACCCAGCCTCTTCCTGATGTGGGGGGGCTGGACCGAGGAGTTGTGGGGGCTATAGCTACCTCAAAATCCACCTTAGCCCCCCCGTAGCCACCTCCCCAGCATCACCACTGCTTCTGCCCACCCACCCCATGCAGCTGACCCCACCCCACTCCAAGCCCAGCTCCCCCACCAGGAAGAGGCTGGAACTGCCTCTGCTGGGAGCGCCATACCTTTGCAGGCTCACCTGCGTGTGGCAGGTGGGTGGGTGGGTGGTGAGGGCACTGGAAGGGGTGGCTATGGGGAAGCTAAGGTGAACTTTAGGGTGGCTATAGCTCCCCCTATGCCATCCCTGCCTGCAAGGCATGGAGGCCCACCCCAACCTTGGCAGAGGCAGCACTAGATGGGGAAAGGCCTCCTCCCCCCTCCCCAGAGTCCAAGGCTCCAATAAATCTTAATCTGTCACCGAATAGAGATGTATCATTTACTCTCTTACAATACAAGAGCTAGGGGTCATAAAACGAAACTAGGAAGTAGTAAGTTTAAAACTAATGAAAGGAAGTTCCTTTTCACACAGTGGGAGTATCTACATGTGCAATTAATGTGACAAAATGAACTCCGGCGGTTTGCTTCAGCTGCTCCCAGGCACAGCATCTACACGTGCACCCGGGGCAGCAGCACTTTCAGCCTGGGCACTGCATCCAATTCTGGGCGCTACACTTCAGGAAGGATATGGAGAAGCTTAAGAGAATCCAGAGAAGAGCCACTCATATTATTAGAGGCCTGAAGAGCAAGCCATACAAGAAAAGGCTGACAGATATGGTACTCTCCAGCCTAGAAAAGAGAAGACTTTGGGGAGATTTGGTGGCAGCTTACAAATATATTGGTGGTGAGCATCAAGGGCTAGATGAACGGCTATTCACCAAAGCACCCGAGGAAAACCAGGAGAAATGGTCATAAACTCCTAGAAGAAGGATTCAGACTGGATATAAGTAAAAACTTCTTCATGATTTGTGTGCCCAGACTCTGGAATGGACTCCCAGCAGGGGTGGTGCAGGCACCTACCATGGAGATCTTCAAAAGGAGACTGGATGCACACCTTGCTGGGGTTATTTGACCCATGTGTAGCCATCAGAAAAACCAATGGCACTTTATCGTGCATCAGCAGATGCATGACGAATAGATCCAAGGAGGTGATACTTCCCCTCTATCGGGCACTGGTCAGACCGCAGTTGGAGTACTGCGTGCAATTCTGGGCACCGCACTTCAAGAGGGATGCAGATAACCTGGAGAGAGTCCAGAGAAGGGCCACTCGCATGGTTAAGGGCCTGCAGACCAAGCCCTACAAGGAGAGACTAGAGAACCTGGACCTTTTCAGCCTCCGCAAGAGAAGGTTGAGAAGCGACCTTGTGGCTGCCTATAAGTTCATCATGGGGGCACAGAAGGGAATTGGTGAGGTTTTATTCACCAAGGCGCCCCTGGGGGTTACAAGAAATAATGGCCACAAGCTAGCAGACAGCAGATTTAGATTGGACATTAGGAAGAACTTCTTCACAGTTAAAGTGGCCAAGGTCTGGAACGGGCTCCCAAGGGAGGTGGTGCTCTCCCCTACCCTGGGGGGCTTCAAGAGGAGGTTAGATAAGCATCTAGCTGGGGTCATCTAGCCCCAGCCCTCTTTCCTGCCTATGCAGGGGGTCAGACTCGATGATCTATTGAGGTCTCTTCTGACCCTAACATCTATGAATCTATGACCCCAGAAATCTTTCCTGCCCAGAGCAGGGTGGATGGACTCAACGATGTCACACAGTCCCTTCCAGCCCTAAACTTCTGTAAATCTGGGGTGGAGCAGCCCAGGCTGGCAGGATGAACAGGGGGTCAGCTCCAGGTGGCAGTGGCGGACAGCAGAGGGGCTGGCTGGGGCAGGAGGATGCTAAAGTGTGGGGCCAGGCAGCAGGCAGCTCCCACATTTTAGCACCCTTGTGCCCCACCCAGCCCTTGTCACCATCTACACATGCATTTCAGTGCACGTAATTACTCCATTGTATAATAGTGCTGTCAGGGACAGTACTGGAGTTAATTAATTTACCATGCCATTATACTGCACACATGTAGATGGTGATGCTTTACTGCAAGGCTAATTAGTCTACTCCATAGTAAAGCGCATGTGTAGATGCACCCCGTGTGTAATTGAAGTTTATAACTCATTGCCACCACATGTTGTGGAAGCTGACAGTTTAGCTGGATTCAAAAAGGGATTGGATAGATTCTTGGAGGAAAGGGCATTAGTAGCTATTGATCACAAAAGTTAGGAATACAGCCTCTGAATCAGAACTTCCTGGACGTTCTACACTGGAGGCTGAAAGAGAGGAACAGTAGGAAAAACCCCAATCATGCCCAGTTCATTCTCTTTTTCAGCATCCACTCTCTGCCACTGTAACACAGGGTAATAGGCAAGATGGCCCTATGGTCTGACCCAGTAAATGGCAATTTTTATGACTACCGGTACCCTGAAATGCTGTACACAGGGATTGACACACTGAATCAAAGCAGTAGATGACTTTGTCCACCCTGATGCACTATCATTGCATCTGTGCAAAGGATTGGACTAGATGACCCTTAAACTCCTTCCAACCCCATGGATCCACAGTTAGTGGAGGCCACAAGCCAGGAACAGCTGTTTTGGAGGAAAATACAAGAAACCTTACGCTATGGGACAAGAGGTTTGGAATGTGAATGTGGATATGGACACAAATTTCACAGCTGGCCCCTGAGACTCTTCTGCAAAACAAGGATAATATTCTCCTGCTGTACTGGGGTGTGATGTGGCTTACAAACTTCAGCATGATTGAAAGCCTTGGAAGGAAGGCCTTGCAAAAATATTGTTATCTTGCTGTCCATTTGGTGACTTTATAAGTTTTATTACTCGAGACTTACTGAATCATTTGAGATGTGTCCTGAATATCTATTCCAGGTGGTAGCTGGATGGAACTACGCAGTTGAATATATGGTCAAAGAGACAAATTGCTCCAAGAAAGAATTTCAGGATTTAAGTCCAAAGTGCAAGCCCATTTTTGGAGGCGTAAGTAATCTTTACATATAGCTGAATGAACATGTTGGGAAATAATAATGATGACAAAGATTCTAATTCAACAAAATAGTTAAATGCTTACTCAGCTTTAGGTCACTGGAACTTCAGCATAGGCTTAAAGTTAAACACGTGCTTATGGTGTTGGCACTGGATTTATGACCCATCTAGCCATCATATGGATGCTACTGATAGGAAGGGGCATGATTAAGTGCTTTGCTGAATCAGGGCTCTTGAAATGTCAGGAGGTTCACCTAGGCAACCAGAAAAGTCTCATCAAAACAATAAAGCTTTATTCAAGGAGATCCTGGCCAAGAACTCTGCCTGGGAAAGCAGTAATGTAGTCATTAAAATGGCAAACTCTAAGTAGCCTCAGGCAGATAGTTCCTAAGAAAAGTAAGTAGCCAAATTCCCATTTTTTTGCATTGCAGTCTAAGCAGGAAAGCCCTGAAGGAAATAATAAATAAATACACATATTTCTCCTATGTAGCACTGAGTTACCAGCTGGCTTGCACACAGGCATATCTGTCAGTACAGTGACTAATGCAAGCATTCTTGAGCAAAAATGACCTCCTCATCCCTACCATTTCTAAAATCATATTGTGGACAGTAATGAGCAGGCTACCAAAAGCTACTTATATGTATGCAAAATCTGTGTGTAGCGGATAAGTGTCACTGCAGAATGTCTCTGATTGCTGTTCACAAATTCCTCGTGAGATGTTGTTACCCCCTTCAGAAGTGCTGTTTGAAAGGAGAAGGGATGAGACCACACTGTTCTGAATTGACAAGGGAGTGACTGCTGGACTATCTGAGAGACTTGCTAGTTAACCTGAAGCTCATCACTTGATCTGCTTGAGCCTCCATTTCCCACTCTGCCAAATGATTCATGAATTCAGCCAAACTACCACAACTGTAAGACTGATCACATGGCTTATATGACAACCCCTTAGCTCCTCGGCTGTTAAACAACCTTATGAGCCGACCATGTATGGCCCTTGGTAAGGATCAGAAGGTCTTGGCAACATATCTGCAGGGCATCTTATTTTTCCTGATCAGAAACTGCTGGGCTTGCACCCTGTCTTTATGCCCACCAATACAGCTCAAGAGAAAATGTGTTGAGAACAATGTAGTTACACTATTGCGATGGGAGCTATGATCACCCCTCCAATCTCTCTCTTTCTGCATGGCCCAGGGTTTTGTTTTGGGTTTTTTTCTTCCTATGAGGAGGACCCATGGGACATTTACATATGAGTTTAGGATTCTTAAAAGCTGTTTTTTGGTTTTTTTTTTACTCAGCATGTAGGTAACTGTGTAGCCAAGGCTTTTGTGGATCTCAGCAACACACTTGTTGATGTTACACAGCAATGCAAGTTTCCAGGTATGTGGAAATTACCATAGTCTGGAAAGTGTTGAAACTCCAGCTGATGTGTTACAATTACAATTTACTGTGTAATCAAAATGTAAAGGGATTGAGAAAATAATGAGAGGAGAAATGCTGCTGGGAAAGAAAAGAAATATCAAAGGTCTTTTCCCTTCTCACCAGGAAATATTAATGCACAATTTTCTCATTTCCTTCAAGTATGTAAAACGGCAGGGAAAGTTATTATCTCTGATCTGTCCACCATCTTCTGTCTACTATGGCACGTTGGGCTGGCCACTGGGCTCCATACAGGGATTACCTGGATGATCTCAGAGTCAAACCCACTATAAAAGTTTGCAGGGCAGCTTAGACAGCACATTTTTTAACATAAACTTTATTTACAGGTAGAATAAACTTGCTTACTCCTTTCTACCATCACAGTCCAAAGAGGACCTTTTAACAGACATTAATGTCACACCATTCATCTTCACTAAGCGATTTTTCAGATATGCTTCCAGAAAATCTAGATTTTCCCAAGAGCTCCAGTCCACCCTCCCACATGGCAGAGAAGTCCGCCACGTAGGGCCTTCACAAAGATACAGATGTGTCCAAAAAAGACAGTACAACATGGTCACAACTAGGTTTTGTATGTATAATCCTCTTAAACTACACAGCCACGGCCATCCTAGCTGGTGTCTTCCCAGATCCTGTCCACAGATGTCTAGTGCTGTCACCATTTGTATTTCATGTCCTTAGATCTATTCTTAAATTTGATACCTTGGAAACCTTTTCAGGGATATCATTTCCCACCTCAACCTGATTCTGAAATAGCTATTTTCCTCTGCAGTCATGGAGTACAATGTGAACATACCCTAGATATGTTCTACTCCAAAGAATGGTAATGATAGTCTTAAAAATACAGTTGTTCATGCCTTATAATGTGCACTCAGAGATCTCAAGGCTTGAAGTTGTCTCATATCCTCTAATCCAGACCCTCATCCAGTTGCAGATGAGACTGTATCTGTCTTCTCCACTGGCCTCACTTTATGTATATCTCTCTCAGTTCTAGGAGAAGCAGATTATTGATCAAAAGCCCAAGGTTGCCTTAAATGCTGAATATACCTCTCTCTCAAATACATCAAGGATATAGCAACACATACACCTCCCATATTAAGCTCAAAATATTTAGGTTCAGTCTGTCAGGGTCAAACACATTCCGTTCAGATACTGTGGGTTTCCAAAAAGATGGTTCCCCAGGTCTAATACACACTGAATCTTTTCCTCTTTAGATTTATATGTAACCCAATGTTTCTTTCAGTTGAGGAAACTGTACCTCCTCCACAGATGTGTCCTGGCTGTCCAAAGCGCATCCCAAATGACAGTCCAGAACTGAAGGAAGTACTCAAGGCTTCCATGGAGAAGTACAATTCAGAGAGCGATGATGATTTCTACTATAAAGTTGAACATGTATTCCACAGCACAGTCCAGGTTGGGATTTGACCTTCCTTCTTAATTCAGTTTTATTTAACATAATCCCTCCTTATGTTGTAGAGATGGGCCTAGGATGTGGTATATCTACAAATCAGAGCTGAATCAAGGCTCAGTTTTGGAACCCTGGTAGTTGGTACACTTGTCCTACTGTTTGAACCACTATCACCTGTACTTGCAAAATTGCAGCCATCTTAGGTTGTATCCAAAAAGGAGTAAAAAAAAAGACACTCCTTAAATACCATTTCAATATGACCTGGACCCAAAATCCTAAGAATAGGTACAGATTCAGGGATCTGGTATGTCCTTCTTTAGCAAACCTTTTTCAACATTTCATGGCTGCCCACGATGGAAAGTAGGTAAGATTATTCAGCGCATCCTCCAGGCTCAGCATTCTGTCCTGTTATATTCTCTGACGCCTTGTCTGAAAATGGTTTTAGCGAGCTCAAAAATGGTTTTTCTCCTGATTTCTTTGATAATCTGATTACTTGCATCCAAATTCTGCACTTAATAGCAAACCTTAGTAACTTCACAGAAATGGAACAGAATTACTGTAGATTCAAACCACTATAAATCTCAGAACAGAATTTCAATCATTCTGCTGTATCCAAATATGATCCTTATCTTTAACTTGTCTATATATCAGAATGCATAGTTACGGTACTGTATAAATAAATAATTCCTATCTCAGACTCCAACAGGTCTCATTGTCAGGAAATACTGAATATTCGTTATATATTTTCCTTTGCTAAATGCCTTATAGAGGAATACAAACCTCTTTTAACCTCTCTAATAGATTCCTTTCCTTCAGTGGTGTTTTAACAATTCAAATACTTATAAGCAGTTATCATTTCAGTACTGGGAGCTGTGATCTTAATACTCACCGCTGAAGCTTTCAGTTGACAAACACTTCTTGTTTGTAGCAAGATGCACTGATTAAAACCTTGAGTGATGAGACTCATTTTCAAGGTAAAAATACCCACCTAATTGGGAAAAAGACAAAACAATTTAATTTAGACACTGCATAGAATTAAAACAAAAAAATCTCCATCTTTTCCACTTCCCCAAATTGTACCAGCTACAACATCCTGCTTATTTGCCTTTCTGCAACATGCCTTCTTTTATATTGCCCCATGCCTGTAAGCCACCATTCCTGGGCTGCCCTCTGTATCTTCCTACTGACATCCCTCCTCATTGGTGTGGTCCAACTGTCACTAAATTCACAGAAAGGTTTTCATTGACTTTGGTGAGTGTTGGATCAATATCCACAGCCCACTTCTTCTGTGAAGCCCACAACAAAGCTAGCCAGCTAACGGAGGTGGGTAATCAGCAGCAGCAATTGTCTTCAGCATTATATAAATACAGTGAAAAAGACACTATCATCCCCAAAGAGTTTATGGTCTAAATACAAGGCAAGAGACACCAGAGAGCAATTAGGGAAGCATGAAGAAACAATGATACAATTGCAGGTAGCATGATTACCAGTTAATTATTACCAAGATTTCTGTAGGCAGTACAGAAAAGGGATTTAAAGGAGGAGGAGAAGGTAGCTTTCCAAATGTGTATCAGGAGCTCTTCACAGTCATGAGGGGCAGCAGGGAGGAAGTGTTTTTGTCCACCCTACATAGTAAATCAAGTTATCTTGCTGCTCTTCCCTGGCTTCATTCTTCTGTCCTGTTCCTACTGTCTGCATAGTCCCTTTTCAAGCTATGACCACAGTTATACAAATGTTTTCAAGATGAGTATCACAGGTGACAACCTGAAACTAGAGAAATGAAAAGAAGAACCCCATTGACTTCAGTAAAGCCAGTATTTCACCCTGCCTCTTGTTTTCTCTACATCATTACTTAGTACCCTTTTTACTGCCATAAGAAATACTAGGCACATCTACACATGCCCCTGACTGCACTTTGTATAGGGCAGTTCGGGGAGCACAGGCTCGTTTTTGACCCTACTGCACAGTAGCAATGAGCTACTATGCAGTAGCTTGTTGCTACTGCACAGTAGTGGTGGCATCATGGTTAGCGCCTGCCAACGCTACGTCACCATAACGACGAGCTATGTCACCATAGTTCATCGCTACGGCAATGTAGAGTCTCGTGTAGATGAGCCTGCTGTGTAATAACACTAACAGCAACTTGTACCAGGTGCATTGCTTCATCATTACAGTTTAGCTCTTTAATGTCTTTGGCAAGCAGTTCTACCGATGCTATATTTGTTTTCCACTGACACATTAAAAACAGCCCTTCATTTTATCCAAATCAAGGTCTCTTTACATCATATTTGGATCTCCCCTGAGATGTCTCTAATGATTTTCTTTGTTATTAGTGAAATTACTGCAGGCACTTTGGAAAACACAACAAGCATTGTGGGCTGTATGTCATTTTGCCCTTTATATTCTTTCTCCTCCAGTTGCAATACTATGATAAAATTAGCAGGTAGAACGGAGTACAAAAATGAGTCAATCAGAAATGTATGTAGAGTACAACATTTTTAATGCTCACAACCCTGCTGCTCAGTTGCTTCTTTTTAGAGCACTGTTTTTTTGGTTCGGTGAATCCCTTACCAAAAAAGGCATATTTAGTGAGGAAAATCTTCTGACTGATTTTTCAGGTGGTTGCTGGAAAAAATTATGAGATAGAATTTCTCATTGGGAAGACGAACTGCTCCAAGTCAGAAGTGGAGAAACTAAATGAAGACTGTAAAATTGTAATTCCTAAGGTAAGAAATTAGGATGCTACGGGCTACCACATCCAACACCCGTTTCCTAATTCACCAAACAGAACAACACCAGAGAATGTATATGGTAAACTCATGTAAAGCAACATAATTGTGTTTCTAGGTTCAGTTGCCTCTTCTGCTAGCCAACCAACTCAATAAATATCAGCCAATCCTCATGCCACAGTCTCTGTACATGGTGCAAAGTTGATGGGACAATTTGGGACCGTTTCCTCAGTTGTGAATCCAACTGGAAGGTGGGAAGGAGCAGACAGGGTGTGGGAGGGCCCAGCTACCGGAGTATTGTGTTCCTGAGGGTATGCGCCCAATGGATTGGACACAAAGGAGAGCATGGCTGTGTGGAAAGATCGGCTGGTGGTGCTGGAGTGAATTTATTTGATGCTGAGAGGATTTGCTGGAAGGAGTCACTGATGGAAATGGTGCTGGAGGCAGGAGGGGCTGGCAGGCAGGGAAGTTTTATTTCCTTTCTCTTCCCTTCCCAGCTGCATAGTGCTCATTTCTCCAATTGAAAAGTGCTGCTGCAAGGAGCTGCAAACCCAGCTCCACAATATCAATGGACACATTTAAAACTTTTGGCCTTAATCCTTGTCTACCTCAATTTTCCCATTTTACATAGGGATAATATCACCAATACTTTCTCACTGCTCAGAGCTGTTGAGAGGATTAACTACATAATATTGTAAAGAACTGGAAATTAAAAGTGCTAAGAATAATTGTCGTGCGTTAAATTGTAAAATCGATGCAAGCTTCCTAAAACTAAATAAAACTAAATTGGGGATGATTTCCAGTAGAGGAACCTCCATAGTTACAACAACTACATTTTATAGATGTACATATACATTCTCTAATCATTGTGTTTAAAAGTATCATTAAAAAGCTGTATCATTACACACACACAATTCTTTCTTTGCGATACTTTGTTGATTTAAAACCTCATCTTTCCTTTTTGCTTTGCTCACAGATATCTTTAGAGTGCACAGCAAATATATATGTGGTGCCATGGAAGCAGGAAATCTTCCCTCAGGTTAACTGCAGTGAAGTGACCCCGGTACGAATCCTAAATAAAATTATTTTTTCATTTCAGCCTACTTGCAGCACAGTAAGTAGTGGGGGAGCTGGGGGCTCATCTACATGAGATGCCACGTCACAGTAGCAACGAGTACTACATGACTGCCCAGTGACAAATGCTCAGTGGGATGCACATGTAGACGCGCCCTGTGTCATGGAAAAATATTTGCCCTCCTCTTTCCATCCAGTTCTCAGATTAGGTCTGATTTGTTCTAAAGTGATAGGAGGGAAATGCTTACTTGCTGTCATGTTAATGTCATGAACCATCCTCTCACCCTGCAACCCTGGTGGCTTTTTGAGATATAGGCTGAACTAAGGCAATGTATGATATTCTGGGCTACATGAGAAATTAACAGAAAAAGCAGCAGAATATGTAGACGCTGTTTTACTCATATGATGCCTGGTCCTTAGCTTTTACTGTCAAGCTCAAATTCGTGAGGGCTGAGGATTGTCAACCCCCACTGGACTTCTTTACTGATTATGTTTGACAATAGGAGACAACATTAAACTCCACGAGTTCAAAAATTTCCAAAATGTCTCTAATTTGTGTTTATTAGCAGGGGAGCAGACAACTTGTTTGTCTGAAGAAGCAGTTTCCAGATTCCCCATCCAACCATTACCAGCCCCTGTATCTGGGTTCAGAGTAGGAATATCAAATCAGTTTGATTTTTTTTTTTTTCTAATTGTGAGGCCAGAATCTTTCCTGGTACCCAATCCGGAACAGAAAATCTAACAGACCTGCTTAATGAATGAATCCATTTTCAACACTTCTACTGCGCTTAGTAACTTCATAACATCCAGGTCACGTGTATTGGGTGAAAATGACCACTTGGATCATGTCTATGCTACAGACCATATTGCACCTGGCATTAGACGTCAAACATGGTTTCACCCTAGGTTTCCTCCAACAGTGGCTAAATAAGGTTCAGCTGTTCTAATGAGCAGGAACCAAACCATGTTAGACATTTGATGTAGGAAGAGCAATCAGTCTCTGTTGGTTAGATGAGAAGGCATTCGTATAAAAGGCATTCTATATTGCTATACGAAGCAAGGCTCTGTGTTGATCACCTATTGTTAAACACAAGGGTTTTTTGTGTAGACATTAACTAATGCTTATTATTTCCCACTGGTTCAAAATATATATATTTCCAATCTGGCAACTAAAAATTAATTATGTAGTGCTTCACAAAATAAAATAAATCAGGTTTTTGCTTCATGCCTCTATTGAAACTAGCCTTGGACATAAATTAGCACATTGTTTTTTCTCTTTGATATGATATCTTATGACTATGCCAAGGGCACTTTAGTTCCAAAATTGTCCACAAATGAGAACTAATATACACACTTACAAAAAGCACTGGCTCTCATCTGTACTGAACTTTTCCATGCTAAAAGCAGCTAAATGTCAGTGATAGATGGTTTGATTCCTTTACATATAATCTCCCAAAAATTTTGGAATATTGCTGGAAGAATGATTCTATATAGTTATATTATTTCCATTCAGATCATAGATGGATAAGATTATCTAATTTAGCCCAAAAGACCTGATAAATCATTTTTGTTAACTGGCTCACATTTTTATCTCAGCTATAGTTAGCTGGTTCTTAAAATATCTGAAACTAATGTACATAGTTTAGGTAATCCAGAAAACTCCCTCTCTCCACCAGCTCTTTAAACATTTTTGTTTAAACTTTTACACTGAAACCTCAAATGGAATGGCAAAATTTTGTTCCAAATAGTGTACCATATGCTGATCATTAAAGTAATGTCATTTCTTTGTCTAAATATCTCCCATTTCTTTTTAGATTATCCAAGCAAGAAGGCCTCCAGGTTTTACCCCATTCCGATCACTTATGCTGCATGAAATTTATCCACAGACATCCCCTTTACAAACTGCAGAAGAAGGAAAAGACCCTGACAAAGGGCCAAGAGAAAATCTTGGGCCGGGACTAGAAAATGAGGATGGACAAGGAGATGGGTGTGACCATAGAGTAGGGCATGGGAATGGGCATGGACATGGGCATGGGCATCGGTTTAAGCATAAGCCTGGGCATGGGAGGGGGCGTGGAAGAGGGCATGATATTGGGCGAGGGCATAAAAAACATCAGAAGGAGGACAAACATAAAGATTCCAAAGACAAGTCCTCTGAAGAATCGGAGGAAAAGGTCCCTTGCGAAAGGGAAAGCCAGCCACCAAGCGTAGATAGGACATCAGAAAATTCACAGTTTCCTACTACACCTAGTCTATTCCAGTCAGATGCATTAACTACTCCTGGGGTTACGGTGGGTCCAAGAGATGACTCTTCTACCCCTGATATCCCTGAGGAACCTGTTAGCCCCAGAACTGCTGAAATTGCTCCTGATATTTCTTTATTTGATGACCTTCCAGATCTCCCAGAGCCCCCTGTTTCCAAGTGTCCTGGAAAGCCATGGAAATCAATTACGCAACTCACAAATCCTTCTGAAAATACCGTTTTATTTACAAATGAGGATCTTTTACCTAATCCATTAGAAAACCTCAATCCAGCATCAGAAAAACCTTCACCTATCAATACTGATGTGGGTGATTTTGACCTTGTGGATGCTTTATCCCTTTAATTTGAACAGTCTGCAATCCATTTTTTTCAGGCCAGAAATAGAAAAATTATATAGTTATTTTCTTTGGAAGCCAATACATTTCTTTGAAGAGTGGTTACCATTCTGTTACAGACAATACTCAAGAAAGTCATTAGCAAATCTTGGGAACAAAATAGAGCACAAGGCAACTCTCAGTACCTGATTCACCCCTTACAAAGGTGTTGATTAGGAGTGAATCCACTGAAAACTCTGTGATACTGATGTAGAACAAGCAGAGAGGAAACTGAGGGCCTCTCTCTCCAATCTTTCAGTAAAGTCAATTGATTCAGTTATTTGTGAGTTCTTTTTCTCATATGCCAAAACTATTACACTCACTCCCAGTGTGCTAGGTTTAAAACACTATGAGAGTACAAAGAATTCTGGGAATTATCTGAGGGGACCTAGTCAAAAGATATCTGTAGGGTGAGGAAAAGGAGGTCACACTGTGAAACAGGGCAAGGCCCCCCCTCCCCCCTTGGGTATTTAAAATCATCCGCTGGACTGCCAATTAAAAAACAATAAAATAGAAACGTTTTACTTGTGAATTTCTTCACTCCTATTAACATACTCTCCAATTCTTTACCATATACAGTAGTTGCTTTCTTGGAGGAGACATTGGAGGGAGAGGTCACAGAATCCCAGATAAAACATCATCTCTTAAGCAAGTTTCAGCTGGAACGCATTTCCTGAATAGCATAACCATTTCCACTATGCAGAATATTTGCTATACAAAATAATCACAGCAAATAACAGCTTTTCCTGTGGGAGAGGTTCACAAGTACCACAGATCCGAGAACAGGCTTATGGACAGTATGGGATGCTTAAGGTTGTCTGACACATCCCCTCATAAGACCCTGTTTTCTGTTGCAAACCATTGCTTGTAGCTCAGCAGAAATGTTCTATTCTGGGTGTCTACCAAAGCCAGAATATTTTTTGAGGGTTTGAGCTAAAATGATCCACTTTTTTGCAAATATAATATTAAGGAAAACACGTTGTTTTGCCATGCTAAAAATTCTTACACCTCTTTTGCAAGGTTTTAACATTCCCATGGTTTGGTTCAGGGATTTGAGATTTGGCTGGATGCTTCCTCTGGTCCCCATGCACCACAATCATGAAAATCCACCAACACCTGTCCAAGAAAGAAGTCTCTGAATAATTACAGTTTGCATGTACTTAGGAGAGGTTGGCTAGGGGTTACCAGCTACATTCTCTTAAGATTTCATCTCTTCTAAGCATATCCCAGCCCAGACAAGGACAGATCTAGGATTTGGAAAACTGGTACAGATGGTGCCTCATCTCATGTTACACAGTACCTATTTTTCTCCAGGTAGAAAAAAAACCTGAAAACTTTATGAATGTGCTAGGGGCCTAGGGCTGTATTATTCAGTTTGAAGCAAAAAAACCCCATTCACTTTGAAGCAAAAAAACCCCATAACTTCATTGGAATGAGCTAAAAGCAGTCTGCAGGGCCATGAAATAGGAGTTTTATTACCAAGAGCAGCCAACAGACAGCAGCATTGCAGAAGAAAGGCTAGCTTGATTAGTGGAACATCAAGACCTTTTAAAGTAGAGAGGGTCTCTAAACCTGTGAATGAAGAGTTTAGAAGGAATCAGGTAGATTTTAATGAGCCAGAGATTTAACTGATGCTCTCGCTGCTGCCACTGCCAGGTTTGTTGGTTGTAATTGTGTTGGTGTTGGTCTAAGGACACAGGCAGGCAAGGTTCTTTGGGTAAATATGGTATCTTTTATTAGATCAACTAAATAGTCGGAAAAAATGTTTTTGCAAGCTTTTGGGCACAAATGCCCTTCTTCAGGCCACTGGCAGGCAGTTGGCTTGAAATGTTAGGTGGAGCAGGAATTAAAGGAGGTGCAACTACATCAGTAAACCCCCTCTAGATCCAGCCTTGAGCTCAGGGTGGTCCTAAGTTGAACAGGACATTGCTGGTAATTGATCCTCCCAGCTCCTGGGGCTACTGTGTCACTTGCAACAGAATCAAGGGTTTCTCTTGTGCTCACTATGCTCCTCTTGCTCGTGCATATTCAACAGGGAGAAGAACATGTTTAGGCAGATGAAGAACACTGGAATTAGACTGGAAAAGGCACAGAATGGGAAGACAGTAGGAGCTTGTCAATGGGGAGGGAGAATAAAATCATGGAAGGTGAGGGAGTAAGATCAAAAACTAGGAAGAGGGACAGAAGCTGCAGAAGTGGAAAGGATAGAAATGGGGGTTGAAGAAAATGGGTCTGAGGCAAGAGGAAAGAGCAGACAGAAAGAAAAAGGTGCAGAAGGAAAAAGGGTTAGGAGCTGGAGCAATAGTCACAATGGACTGCAAAGGGGCAAGAACTTAGGACGGGAAAAGGAGCAAATGGAAACAGAGTTAAGTCTAAAAGGCCAAGGTAAAAGGGCCTGTAACTACAAGGGCTAAGTACAGACAGTCAAAAAGCCCGAGGCTGAATTGATTGTATTTTTGCAGGTCAGTCTAAGCAGCATAGATTGAACAGAGAAGCAGGTGAACAGACATTCACTTTTGCAGTCACATGCCAGCAGTGGCTCAGCCCAGGACCTGGGGGACACTAGGGCATGCAGCCAGCCACTGCCAAAGGGAAGGGAGGGAAGCTGGGAGAGAAGCCCAGGCTTTTCACCCTCTCCCTGCTGGAGTGGGGGGAGGCACATGGCCAGGTCCTGGCAAGCCTGCTAAGTATGATGGGGGTGGGTATTAAACCCCCACTCTGACCTGTACAGGACCCCAGGTGGGGTCTGCCTGAGGTACAGGTCCTGTGCAAGGCCTGTCCTGTCCAGGAAGGGGGGTTAACCCACACCCTTCCCCGCCTCAGTGTGCCAGCTGGGGCCAGGGCCTGGCCACACCCACCCACTCTCTGCTTGAGTGAAGGATGAGGGAAAAGCTTGGGAGGGGCTGCTTCTTCCCCTCAGGCAGAACCCAGCTGGGATCCAGAGTCGGGTTCCCCCCAAAAACCCTTTCAAAGCTAGCCAGAGCAATGATAGCACTCTGGCTATGGAGCAGAGGGGCAGGGACAACCCTTCTCCACTGAAGCAAATAGCACAGCCCTGCCCAGGGCTGTAAAGCATCCTGGGATGCTGGGGGACTATGAGTTAACTTGAACCAGGAAGGTGTCTGGGACAGAAGTTCCATAAACCAGTTTGATCTAAATCTGTTCAGTCTGATACTACATCCAACCAGGTTTATCTTAAACCAGTTTCGACCATTTTGAAAGTGATTTAAGTGCACTGAACATCTGTTCTGTTACAGGTTTAAAGTGGTTTCTGATCACTTAAACTGGTAACTTCTATTCCTAGACAAGAGGATTTCCCTTCCCAGCAAGTGGAATTGCAGCAGAAAGAATCAGCAGCAGTTAGTGGCAAGGGAAGCAGGGGTATGACATAAACACACAAGTTCAGGCAACGCTGAGATACTATATTAATATAGATAGTAGGACACTGTGGATCTAAAGCTCTCAACCGTATTGATGATCCATGCAGCAGTGGGGGGCTATAAAACACCATAAGATGTTTTTTTCATTCATGCATTGTCAGAGCTTTTGAAAAACTTAAGAATGTAAATTAAAAAGCTACATTAAAAGAATCTTAAGAAAAGCCAAGTACCTTAAAGTTAGAAAATATTTATACTCAGGTTGTGCAAACTTAATTTGTGTTGATATACTGGACAGACCAGACTTTCTCTATTTCCCCAATTTAAAATGTTGTTTTTGTTCTGAATCAGAACAAAACATGGAATTTCAAAATCTACCATGAAACATAATGTCAAAAACCATTGGTTTTGGTCAATTACAAAAAATCATTTCAATGTAGACTTTTTTTTTTTGTAACTCATTATATAACTAATTGGAAAACAAAGAATTGTTTTGAAACCAAAATAATTGAAGTTTTCCATGCCAAAGATTTGGAAATAAGCTTTGTCATCTTTAGAAAGAAACATTCCAGTTTTTCTTCAAAATGAAATTCCACTGCAAACAACATATTCTCAAGGAAAACTTCAGTTGAAGTGAAACAGCATTCTCCAGTGCAAAACAAACAAACAAATATTCCAAAAAAGTATTCTGTTTGATGAGAAGCTCTACTGGGTTACAAGCTACTACTACTGAATTTTGTTTGGTAAAGCTGTAGCTATAAAACAAGGACTTAATCCTGAAAGGAGTGTGTCTCTCACTTGGCCAGCAGATGGCAGGTTTTCTGAACTGATTCTACAGTTTCCTATTTTAGGGCTTTGGTTAAGGTTAAAAAGTCAGTAAGCTTAACATTCAGCGCTGTCCCCTGCACTGTGTTATAGTGTGTGTTTATGCAGATGAATGCACCACACCTGTGCATCTCCTTACTTAGTGCTGAAGCTCTTTCAATCTGCAAGGAAAGCATACCCAGCTACTTACACATATACAGTTTCCTGCACAGTAGCCTAATTAGCTGTGCAGTAAATGTTTCGTGTCTACATGTGCACAGCTATTAGGGTGCAGTAGATTAATAAACTCTGCAGATGGATAGTACTTGTAAACAGTAACTAGGAGGTTTTTTTATTGCGCAGCACCACATGTATAGATGCTGACCCAGGAGCATCCTAGTCCGCCCAGGTACCAGAGGGCCACAACTCCTGCACGCTGGTGCTAAAGGAGCCTCATGCCAGAGCCAGCCTCTGCCACCTGACAGAGGCACCCAGAGCTCAGGTCTGACCCCTGTGCCCCCAGTCAGTTTGCATCCCAGAGCCCAGAGCTAAGCCCTGTAGTTCCCACCCCCAGAGCCCAGGCCTGACCCCCCTGTACCCACCGCCAGCCAGAAGCTGTCCCCAGAGCCTGAGCCAACTCGCCCCTCTCCCTCGAGCTCAGGGAATCAGGCCTGACCCCCCTCCGCTCCCGCTCCCTGTACTCCCTACCAACTTATGGCTGCCCCTGGTGCCCCCTGCCAGCCTGGGCCTGACCCCCATTCGCCCTGCCAGCTTGGGACTGGCACCCAGGCAGCTGTAGCCAGAGTCTGGAGCTCCCCCTGGCTACTGCAGGAGTGCAGAGGAGGACAGGAGCAGCCCTGGCCTAAACTGCTCCTCCTGGGCTCAATTTGCTCCTAACCTGGGTGCACATGTAGATGTTGCACCCAGGAGTATTTTACTGTGGCGCAATTTGCTCCACAGTTTATTCATGCACATTAATTGCACATGTAAATGCACCCAGTATGTACAAAGTACCCTATCTTGGGTGTGAATGTTATAGGTATTTTACAAGTACAAATATTAAGAGTTAGTCTGTATCCCAGTTGTGGTTTAAACTGGTGACCAGCACAGCTGAACACACTCCTCTAGTCAAGCATCTCCACTGTGTGAAAGAGCACTAGAAGAACTCATGAAATCTGCTGGTTCTGAGACCCAGGAGTATGCCATGGCCATGTTGGTGCTATCTGGAATAAAAGTGCTCTCTCCCTCTTCTCCTCTTGTATTTTTCATTCCAGCAATGAGGCAGAATATCTATTCTAGTTGCTCCTTGAAAAATGCTTTAACCCAGTGCTGGATAGGATTCTGAATTGTTCTCTGACTTGGGACAACATTCTCACATTCCACCCAAGTGGAATCTCATAGAAATCACATGGCCAAGTACCTGTTCTAGTCCCCCTCCCAGGTACATTTAGAGATGCTGGATAGCTACAAGTCAGCAGAACTGCACGCAAGAGTGCTGAAAGAATTGGCCATCATTGCACTACCTATGGCAAAACTATTTGAGAACTCATGGCACTTGGGAGAAGTTCCAGAAGACTGGCAGAGGGCCAATGTGGTGCCTATCTACAAGGAAGGAAGGAGGATCCAGGAAATTACAGGTCAATCAGTTTGTCCTGAATCCCTGGAAAAATCCTGGAAAAATTATCAAAGAATCCATTAACAATAGGCTAACAGAAAGCAATGCTCTAATAGATAACCAACATGGCTTCATTCC